ATTAACAGACGTGTCGCCGAATGAAACAAACTTTCTTCTCTCATAATCTCTATTATTGCTTTTCACTGACTCCAGAAATTTCAATACAATTTGCAGATTCTAAAGAGAAGAAACTGCAGTTTGTCGCTGTATCCCGCGTGCTGGAGTCAGCTTCGTCAACGTGGCCGAGCAAATGACGTGGCAATGATCATGAAATCTCAGGAATGACGCTTGCAACCGCGCAGGTAATTTGATCATTTGATAACTCGGCCACCTCGCAGACATGAGGAATGTCTTGGGAGCGTTGATTGTGGTGATTTCTCGGCCACCGTATGTGCGAGTCATTGTTCCGCGTCCGACAATAGCGGGCGCGTGGTGGGGAGAGGGGGGCTTTAGGAGGAGCAATTGTTTTGGTACTCTCGCGCGTCGCTTACCTGCCCGTAATCGAGTCATTGAGTCTCGTGTCGACGCGGAGCGCGCACGTGTGTCAGCGCTGTGTTTACATTCTCTCCGCCGCGCGAGTGTGTGATCCAAAACTCTCTTCGGCCGTTGAAATATCTCTTCGCGGCGTCTCGTCGGCATCGCGTCAATTTCTCTGATTAATTAATCGAATCGTGTGCACGCGAGTGTGTGTCAGTATTAGTGCCCGTGAGTGTTTCGAAACTACCGGAGCGACGGACAGGAGCGGCAAGCAGGGCCAGGATGCTGCTGCACCGGAGGACACAGGACGCCGGGACGCAGGCAGTGAGACGTCATACGTTTGCAAGGTGTGTGCCAATTATTTTTTATACATAAGGTTTCCGTTTTTAGCGAACTCCTGACGTAATTGCCGGGAAAGAATATTCGCCCGAGTCGAAATTTAGGTCGGCATTCATAGTCTGTTATCATGTGATAAGTGATTATAGCTTCGATATCTCCGATTTTCGTCAATATAACAGTCTAGCTTATTTACTTGATTAAATTGAATATCTCTACTGCGCAAGATAAAAATCGTTGAAAGGAAATAATACACACAGCAATTATATAAATTACAAAAAAGAGACAAAATTAGATATGTTATTTTATATAAGAAAAATTGATTCAGACAATTGAATAACGGTCCGTGTAATCTGAAATTGATTATGTTCTCAATGGAAAGTTCTGAATAACTTGCAACTGTGAATACCGGCCTTAGAATATAATATACATTATATATTTTTTTAATAGTGTTGATTTTTTGTCCAATAATGTTTATGTTTGGACCGCGATTTCGATCTGCTAAGGCTTCTCTTCCGTTTTTGTTCAGCCTTGCTACTGCTTACAGAGTTCAAATTAAAATCTCTATCAATAAACAGCATTATTGGACACATAACTGTTATCTTTGCCTTTACAGTTGTCTGATCAGCTCTTTTAAGAGCTGATCCAATTCTCATCACAAAACTTCCAAAAAGAAAAACTTAAAAAAATGTTTTCAAAAAATTTGCAAAAAATTTTTCAAAAAAAGTATCAAAAGAACTTAGGAAGAGATGAGAATAACGTGTATTATTTTCTTCACTCATTTATCCACATATGAATCCTTGTTTGATTTAATATTTGCTTATCTCTCTTTTACTCCATTTATTTTATCTCTTTTTATTTATTATTTTTTACCTTTACTTTTCGAATCAGTCAGCAATATATCAATTATACAACTTGCTCAGAGTTGAGCAAGAGTAAAGGTAAAAAATTGAATAAGAATATTGAGAAAAAATGAAGTAATAATATTGATGGAATATTGAGATAATCGAATATTAAACAATCCCGAGTATGAAGTCATCTTGGCTGCTGCTTGAGTAAGTACTTCTTCACGAGCGTCAACATGGAGAAAGTGGTAGCGAGTCGACGCATCTGCGGCATCCAGGTAAGACAATAATATTGGGATTCTCCATTGATCCTTCAAGATGGACGACACTTGCAAGATCAAAGTAGAATCAAGATTTCGACTCGGGGTATTGCGTCATTTTATTATCGAGTTCGCTTGGAAGAAAAGAGAGGAGACAAACTGTCGAAACAAATGCCCAAGGAGACGGGCATTAGGAAAAATGGCGGCATCGGCGCCTAATCGGCTTGTCAGACTTGCGATCGTTCCGCGAAGAGGGATTTTTTCGCGCACCCGCGGGTGCCATAAACATTAATCCGAATCCCGGCCGGTTCGCCCCCGGGATCGAACGCGTCGGGACCGGAAAGTGATAAGACACAATATCTCACAATTCCCGGGGTCTTATGGGCTTTCACGTCTCGAGTGCTAACAAATTATTACGAATGATGACGTCCGAGAATCTACAATCGGCCGCGAGAATGTCAGCTGGCGAACAATTAATGACGTATCCGTTTTCATTAGGTCGCTAGGCTAGCTGGCGAGCCGGCTCGCGCGCCTTTTACCCGATCATTCGCGCCAATTTATATCGATTTAATGCGCGCGCGTGTGATTAATATGTTTCACGCGCCGGGGCATCGATAGCCCCGACGTTATCGCAACAATGGACGGACTAAATAAAATTAATCGTTCGCGCTCGCGAGAAATTTATCGCGGTGTCTGGAAAACAAATCCGAAAAACAAAAAAAAAAAGGAAACAGCCGCGAAAACCGCATCGACATCGAATACGTTTTTGGCGATTCCATCGAACGGATGTCGGTCGCCGGAAGCTTGATCGATAGCAAGCAGCGGCGCGAAATTCGCCCAAGTACAGAGAGCACGGCTAGAAATACGCAACAAAAAACATGGAAAAACGTAAGTAGTGAAACTCAAGGGGATGTTGGAGTCGATGACGAACTCGAAAAATGTCGATAACACAGAAACGATCGTCACTAACACAATCACGCTATCCTCTTCGTATTTCATGTTACTTTGTTTTACCATATTCAGCGGAAAACCGCGTTTATGTAGAAATCTTCCTGTAAACTTTTCTGATATTCTTAAGTTTCTGAACTCAGATACGAAGATACAGCAATGTTCTTCAAAATTTTTTGTTTGCAGTATCCATACTTTCGATATATATAATACAAACTGCCAAACTTTTGGATTAGTCAAATATTATGCTAACTGACAGCTTGAGATTTTACATTAAACAGTTTTTTGTTTTGTTCACATATATTGAGCAATGTTCCTATTTTTGCACGTATTTTATTATGTAAAAACATCTGTAATTCTGTACAACCAATATGACGTAAACTTTACACAAAAATGTCAGTATTTTATCGATAAAGTTTTCAGCTTCAGCATTCCTTTAAACAGCAAACAAATCTTTTTTTATATAAGTTCTTTTCAATTTTACTATATTTCTAATAGAACCAGAATAGACTACCAATAAGGTCTATTTTGCGGCATCCGAAATCTTAAATTATTTTTTGATAAAATTGTGACTATTGATTGAATTCAATAATATAACTATCAAAATGACGTGCTTCATTATTTGAAAGAAAATAACATGAAAAAGTATGTATTTTATCGAAAAAAATAAAATCGTTAGGATAGGATTTATGGGAATATCGGAATGGATCTATATATGATTATAAATGCTAACAATATTTATTAATTTAGAGTGACTTTTTCACCAAGCTCCGGTTATTTAATCGCCGATTAATTCCATTGTAATTAGCAGAATTAACCACACTAAGAAAAATTATCCAATAAAAAATTAACAAACGGATATTTTCGATCAATTTTTATATCCAATTAATTTAATCGAATACTTTCGATCATTCGACCATCCGTTCGAATGGCATTTCATCTGATAAACCGATCAAAAAATTACCGATATTTTTCATCGGATGTTTCTTGATTGAATACAAAAATTTATCAGTTTTTGATCGGAAATATTGTTAATTTTTTGTTAATTTTTTACCGGATAATTTCTTTCAATGTAATAAAGCTACTTATTAGACCAAGCAAATTTCTTGTAAAATATAAACGAATCAGAAATTCTGGTTTAAATTACCAGAATTCTTGTTCAAGTTTGCAAAATTTCTATAATTTGAACAGAATCCTGTTAACAAATAATTGGAATTTTCTAATCGTACTTGACCAGAAATTTGCTAAATCCAACCAAACTTTTTTCCCGTCTATCACATGTTGAAAATTGTTCTCGTGATCAGCCAGTTCACCTGCCACCTAGATTTCGTTACTCGCGTTTCTCGGTGCGCCACGGCGCTTGTTCTCACGACAAGGTCGTCGTGTCTCGATAACCGGCGGCCAGCCGGCGTCGGAAACTCCGTGGAAGGTGCGCGCCGGCCGCGACCTTAGCGCGCGGCCGGCTGCTTAATTAAGG